GAAGGAGGGGGCCCAGACAGAGTGGGCCTCCACATATAGGGAGTGGGAGGTGACCTAGTAAGTAGCCTGAAGGGGCAGGAGAGGAGACTGTCTCAGTTTCTCCACAGGGACAATGGTGTAGGATACTGGGTCAGCCAACTTGGGCAGCCCTGGAAGGAGGAGCCTCCCCACCTCAGGAAGCCCAAAGAGCTGTCCCTCTCCCACCCTCCGTCCCCACAAAGGCCTGTCTGACTGAGATAAGGAGAGCAAGGCATGCTCTTTATGGCCAGAGATTCCTTAAATAAAAGCTGCCATGGGGCGCCTGGGTGGCTCAGTCGTTAAGCGTCTGCCTTCGGCTCAGGTCATGGTCCCAGGGTCCTGGGATCGAGCCCCGCATCGGGCTCCCTGCTCTGCAGGAAGCCTGCTTCTCCCTCTCCCACTCCCCTTGCTTGTGTTCCCTCTCTCGCTGTGTCTCTCTCTGTCAAAATAAATAAATAAAATCTTAAAAAAAAAAAAAAAGCTGCCACATCCATACAATGGAACCATGGCAAACATGGGTGGTATATGTGGGTGTATTCACAGGTGGAAAAAGGAGGTTCCAGAAGAGCGTGGGCCCCAAGTGACCTGATTTGGGGTAAGAAAAAAAATACACACGGGAAAAAAATAAAAGGCAGTCTTGCTTGATATTGGAATTGAGGGAAAATTTTATTGTCTTCTTCCTGCTCATCTGAACATTCCATTTTTCCACAACAAAAATGAGTTCTCATGTGTGCTGTTTTTTGTTTGTTTGGGTTTTTTTTTTAAGTTGTACATGCTAAAAATAAGAGGGATATCTCAGAGGTCCAAAAGGAAGAGTGTGTGCCCAACTAGGTCAGATCAGGTCAGGAAACAGCCTGGGGGCTGGGGGACCGCCACTCACCGGGACTCCTTCCCCACCTGCCGTAAAGGCATGAAGGTAGATGAAGATGGGACAAGGCCAGGCGTCCACAAGTGGGAGAAGGGAAGGTCCATGGAGGCTGAGGTTCCTGGTCTGGGATCCAGGTTCCGATGAGAATGTTCACCAAGTACCTGCCAGGTGACCCCAACTGGAGCAAGCTGTCTTCACAGCAGGCATGACTCCAGGGGACCAAATGATACCTTCCCTCCCCACCCTGCTCTGGGCCAGGGATCAGAAGGTTGCGGAGGCTGGCCCTTTGGGCACACCGGGTAGCCTCCCTGGGCTTCACCGGAAAGTGAATGCGCAGCTCCTTTCCAGAGAGCAGAGCTGGGCCGAGCGGAGGGCGAGAACACAAGCACCCTCTGAGCCTGCAGGAGAGATCCCAGCCTCCCGGCCACAGGAGAGGACAGAGGCTGGCCTGAGAGGGGCTCACGATAAGAAATAAGGAGGCCCACATTCGCAAGTCATCCTGAGCAAGGATAGTTTGTTGTTATCATCACAGTTTGTTTTACCAAAATGGGATATTACTTTACTCTCTCGTGCATTTCACTCTTGTCGCTCAACAACACAACGGATATTCCTCCAACACAATTCATGCAGTTTTATTTCATTTAACATAATGTCCGTATAATACCCTGTGGTGTGCAGGCCCCAGTAACTATTCCTTTTGTTTCCAGCTTCTTGCTTTGCCATTAGCAACGCTGCAATACACGTCTTTGGGTACTTAAAAGCAAGCCAAACCCAATCCCAGGTGACCTGGGAGCCGCGGGCCCTTGACGGGGCCATGGGGCCACGGGGGCAGGGGAGCCTCCCAGTGAGTCAGTGAGCGACCTGCCAGCATCTGCACAATGAGGGGCCAGGTTAGAAGAGGACCAGGGTCCTCCCTGCTGATGGAATCTTTCCGAGTCAAAGCGTCGACTCCCTCCGGCAATCACCCGGCACAGACGGAGGGAGGACCTGCGAGGTGCGGCCGCTGACCGAGTCCCCATGGCTTGACCACGGACACAGCCCTCGGGGAGCTGCTGTGCTGTCGGGGAAAGCAGATGACAAACATACAGATGAACAGGAGCGTGCCTTGAAGGGGGCTCTGAGTTGCGAGATGCTAAAAAAGTAAAACACCCACACTCTGTGTACGAGAGGCATTCTCCTACGGGTCTAGGGTAGTGTGTAAATGGGGTGTTTAAAGCACCCCTCAGGGACGCCTGGGTGGCTCAGTCGGTAAGCGTCTGCCTTCAGCTCAGGTCATCTCAGGGCCCTGGGATCGAGCCCCGCATCGGGCTCCCTGCTCAGCGGGAAGCCTGCTTCTTCCTTACCCTCTGCCCCTCCCCCTGCTTGTGCTCTCTCTTGCTCTCTCTCTCTCTCTCAAATAAATAAATAAAATCTCAAAAAAGAAAAAGCCCCCCCCCAGGCCTCTGCCCTTGACTTCTCCTGCTGCTGTCACTGTGGGTGTGGTGCCCAGGTGCCCTCCATCCCGGCCAGGGTACCACTTGGCACTGCTCAAGCATCAGGGGCTCCTCAGCCGGCAGCATCGCGGGGGGCCCAGGACCTTCTTGTCAGGTTTGGCGTCCATGGCTGACATTGGCCATGACCACAGGAATGGCCCAGGGGACCACTTCCTCTCCTCAGCGGCCCCTCACTCTGGGCTCCTCTCCCGGGCCCCTCTATCAAGGGCTCTGTTTACTTCAGTTGCTAGAACTTGTTCCCAAAGCATTGCTATACCCCAGGGGTTCCCCCACTTCAGCAGCCCCCCACACTCTCCACGGGCACAAATTGTGCCATCTCTGCAAGCCCTTTTCTGACTGATTTGGTATTTCATATGAGTGCAATTTTTTATAACTTATTATAAAATGACTACATGAATGTCCTAATTTTATAATATATTTTTGTATAATATTTTACTGTTAGGCTTGATTTTTATTCATGTTTTTTTTTTTAAAGATTTTATTTATTTATTTGAGACAGAGAGAATGAGATACAGAGAGCATGAGAAGGAGGAGGATCAGAGGGAGAAGCAGACTCCCCGCCGAGCAGGGAGCCCGATGTGGGACTCGATCCCGGGACTCCAGGATCATGACCTGAGCCGAAGGCAGTCGCTTAACCAACTGAGCCACCCAGGCGCCCCATGTTTTTTTAATATTAAAAAAATAAACTGAAAATCCATTTCTCTTTTAAAGGGAACTCTTTATCACTAACATAAATGGAAAACTGATGTCACTCCCTTAGGTAAAATTTAGCTATAGAAATAAATATAATGCAAATTAAAAAACGATCTTAGGGGGCCTGGGTGGCTCAGTCGTTAAGAGTCTGCCTTTGGCTCCAGTCATGATCCCAGGGTCCTGGGATCGAGCCCCACATCAGGCTCCCTGCTCAGCGGGAGGCCTGCTTTTCCCTCTTCCCCCGCTTGTGTTCCCTCTCTCGCTATCTTTCTCTCTGTGTCAAATAAATAAAATCTTTAAAAAAAAAAAATCTTAAATTCTAGCTAGAGACCAATGACTGATGGAGACCAAGCCACAAGCCCTCAGCATCCTGTGAAAGAAAAGGATCAGGAGGTTTAGAAGGTGCTAAAGATGTAGTGACACCGAAAAGTGACTTTCTCCTTGACCTATTCAGAAGAACCACAGAAAATTTAAAACGACGTCGTTCTCCCTCCATAGAATTCTCAGCCCACGGGAGCCGCCCCACCTACACCCTGCGTATGCAAGCAGGACAGGGATGATTGCTTCCATTTTACAGATGAGGAAGCCTCAGACTTGGGAGGAACAACCAGCAGAGCCACTCAGCTCCAAGGCCTCCCCTTCCTGGAAGCCTTCCCCACCTCCTGGGACCTGGTGAGGGGCCGCCTTGGTTTTCCCACAGACTCCGTACTGAGGCCCAGCGAGGCACGGGTGGTCCACAGGGATGCACTGTGGGACCCCCTTCTGTAAACAGGGGTTGGCCTACCATTCAGGGCCCAAGTCCCCGGGACCAGAGACGGCCCCCCAGGGCTGCACGTGGGGGATAAGCCAGGCTATTTTCATCATTTCCTTCCTCCCACTGAAGCAGCGGCCACCACCGGCTGCCTCGCGGACAGCTGCCACCTCAGCCTCAAGCAGGACAGTTCAGGCCACAGAAAGGGGTGCCGGCTGCAGGCCTCACAAGTAAGTGGCCCTCTTATTACCCAGCACCACCTCCCACAGCGCACCCCCACCCAGGTGGGACGGCCAGCCCCCGGGCCCACCCCTGTCCCACCTTCAGCTTTCCCTCCAGGAGATGGGGTAGGGTGGGGCATGGCTCTGAGACACTGGCTCCTTGGTTCATTCAACTAATATTCACAACCTGCCATGGGCCCGGCCCTGGTGGGGAGAGCCCGTCTGAGGAAGGGGAAGCAATCGTAGGAAAGTCAGCAAACCAGGCAAGAGCCCGGAGCTCATGAGGCCTGAGTTGGAGTCCGTTCTCTGACACAGACCGCTGGGTGACCCTGCACGAGTCATTCTCTGTCTCCAGGCCTCAATTTCCCCAACTCTGAGTATTGGCCTAGATGTGTGGCTTTCCAGAGGGAACGCCTTCTGGGCTGCCTCCTGGTCCCCACCTCAGCATCCTCATCCTGCTGTTTTCTACATCGAGTATCACCTAAGGTTCGCTGGGCCACAGGCGAGCTGTGGGAATCGATGGGAAGAGGTGTGGTCTGTGAAGTCCACACCACTGGCCTGACCCCAGGCTTGGGCGTGGGGGCTGGGAGCAGCCTGGGGGCCAGGGGCCAGGACTAGGAAGCATCTAGCCGGCATCTGCACCTCTCCCCCCTGAGAAGGGGCTGGACCTCCTGGCCCCTTCCTAAGAGCGTTCTTACCCTCACTCCCCTCCCCACCCCTCACAGCTACGCTCCCCATCCTGCCTTCTGAGTGTCCAGGCTCAGCTAGGCCTGGGTTGGGCACACTTCACTTCCTGCAGTCTTCACCACCCCATTTCACAGAGGACAAGGCTGAGGCCTGAGAAGGGAGGTGAGTTGTCCTTTGTCCCAGGTCAGTCCCGCCGGCCATCAGCAGGGGGTGCGGACTGCCAGGCCCTCCCTCACCTCGCGGCCACTCTCCCCACAGCCAGCCTGCCAATGCCTGCCTGGGGGGCCCTGTTGCTGCTCTGGGCTGCCGCAGAGGCCACCAAGGAGTGCCCTGCAGAGTGCACCTGCCAGGCCCTGGAAACCATGGGGCTGTGGGTGGACTGCCGGGGGCGGGGGCTCACGGCCCTGCCCGCCCTGCCGGCCCACACCCGCCACCTCCTGCTGGCCAATAACAGCCTTAGCTCCGTGCCCCCCGGCGCCTTCGACCACCTGCCCCAGCTGCAGATCCTCAATGTGACACAGAACCCCTGGCACTGCGACTGCAGCCTCACCTACCTGCGTCTCTGGCTGGAGGACCGCACGCCCGAGGCCTTGCTGCACGTCCGCTGCGCCAGCCCCGAGCTTGCCACCGCCCGCCCGCTGGGCCAGCTGACGGGCTTCGAGCTGGGCAGCTGCGGCTGGCGGCTCCCGGCGTCCTGGACCTACCCGGGGCTCTGGTGGGATGTGCTGCTGGTTGTCGTGGCCACGCTGGGCCTGGCTCTCCTGGCCGGCCTGCTGTGCACCGCTACAGAGATCCTCAACTGAGCCCAGGCCCCCAGGGTCACCCCTCCCCAGACCCCGCCCGGCCTGGGCAGCCCAAGCCACCAGTAACTCAAAATAAACTGGCTGCTCAACCATTTTATCCAAGTTCAGGTTTTTGGGTTTTTTCCTCTCAGCACCCACGTCTGGCTCTTTCTGGAAAACTGGGTCCGTTTTGTTATAACCAGATACCAATTGGGCCTTCTCTGTCCCCCCGGTTCCTAGTAAAATGGGCTGTCCCCCCTCCTCCACACCAGCCTCCCCCAGTCCCACAGTCTGTGGACATCCCGAGCCCCTCCTCCGTGCCTGACGGGTCCCAGGACTCCGGTCCTCACGCTCTCCTCTGTCCTGGCCCCTGCTTCCTGCATGGGCCACGCCGGAGGGCCCAGGCAAATTTCACATGAGCGTCCAGCTGCCCTCCCAATTCCACAGAAAGCGTGCTCTCCCAACACAGCAGTGAGCAGAGCAGGAGACACGGAAGACCCTGCGAGGGTAGGAGAAGAGCCATTCCCGTCTCTCTGACAGACACACCCTGAGAGGCACATCACCGTTTCCAAAGCGGCCTTTGGCCACGAAGACACCTGCTCCCCTGGCCCCATCCTTTCTCACCTTCTCTTATAAGCTCTCTCTCCTTTTCCTCCTCTCTAGCCAGCCCTCGTCAGAAACAAAACAACAAATTCTTCCCTTTCTCATGGAAACAACTCCAGGTGCTGACATCAGACACCTGCAAACCGGAGTCCCCCTTCCAGCCCCAGCAATGGCCACCAAATTCGTCAAACAAGACACTTCTCTCCCTCAGAGGAATTCTGGTGCCAGCTGTTAAACTAATGAACTTTCCTCCACAGCATGAGAGAATACTTCCAGGCCTGTTCCTGGCCACCCCAAATCCAGATAGAATTACACTGAGGTCCTTCCCTTGAGGAGGTCCGTGCGGTGGACCTGTGGCTCGGAGGGTGCCACAGGGAAGGCCAGTGGGCACAGAGCACCCACTGGAGGACACTGAGCCGCAGAGGTGAGGCTGGAGCCGGGGGCCCAAACTCAGCGGAGGGGAGGGGCTGTAGGGAGAGGTGGGGCCTGCGGGAAACCGGAGGGCCCGTGTTCCACCTAATGCCTCCCCGCGGAGGTGTGGACCCAAGCACCCAGGCTTCCCATTCTTCCAGGGGGGTTAGAAATCTGCATCTGTGTGTGAAATCTCTGACTCAAGTGTTGGCAACGAAATCCAACAAAAAATGTTGCGGAAATAACAGCACACATAAAACGTAGTAATCGGCTGGATGGAGTCCACAGGCTGGGAGTGTGGGATTTCTGCAGTTGGAGCCAGCGGCTACAGGGCTCCCATGAGAATGGGAGAAGCTGGCTTCTCCTCACCGGGCCCTTAGTTTGTGCGCGGCCCCGCGTGAAGCACCTGCCGTGGGTCATTCTTCTGTACTCCGTGAGGAAGGCACTGCTCGCCCACACTGGGCGGAGGACACAGGCCTAGGACCCCTGACAGTCACTTCGCAGGCATGATCCCAGACAGCTTCCCCTTCACACCTGAAAAGTGCCCCCTTGAAAGCTTCTGAAACTAGTGACCTTCAGCCCCCCAGTGTCCTTGTGGGATGCCCCTATATTCTGCTCCTGCTCCCTCCTGAGGCCAACACATGCAGCCACAGGTCTGGGCACAGGGCGATCAGAAGCCTTGACTCTGCTGGCCGAGCGGCTGGCCCCGTGAGAACTTGCCAGGAGCCTGAGCAGCACCGCATCACCAATGCAGGGGGGCGACACCGCTGCGGGCAGAGGGGAAGGGAGGGGCTGCCAGCGGCCGGGCGGGGATCTCCCCAGGTGGGTGGCGGATTCAGACGAGAATCCCCAGGGAAACAGGTGCACTGGGAGCTTCAATTAGCCTCCTCCATTGTCCCCACGGTCCTTGTCCCAGGCCAGCAAAGTGGCCACCACAGAGCCATGTACACAGTCCCCACTGCTCCACAGCCACCAAACCAGCAACCACAGATCCCGCCGCCGCCGCCCCCACCGACCATGCCCCGCTGACCACTGCTGTCCCCTGCAGGCCTGCAGGTCCCCGCCACCCCTGACGGCTGGGCGCAACACCCCCAGCACCGCCACCACTGGCGCCCACATGGCCTGCTCGCCGGCCTCACGCTTGCCTCCCCTCACCCTCTCCTCTGCAGCCACAGAAGAGCAGCCCTGTGAGGCGACACCGCCCCCCAGCCCCTACCACCTCGGTCACCACTAGCACCAGACAGCCACGGACCTTTGCCCCATTATAAGCAAAATGCCATCTCTGCCACCGCCGTCCCACGGTCTCTGTGACCGCATCCTCATGACCATCTCCTTCACGAGCATTTTCAAAATCAAGCTGCACGTGGAGAATTTGTCGAGGCGACTTTGACCGGCTGCCGTGAGCACCCCCACCTTCCGGGCGGCTGACCCCCTCCACTGATCGCCGGGGCGGGCCGTTCCCCAGCAGGCCTCTGCCCCACTGCAGGCTCCCGCTGAGCCCAGCTCCCGCGCCCGCTCGCGGCCCTCCTCTGGTCCTCTGCGCTCCTCCGGCCAGCGGGCGAGCAGAGAGCGAGGGGCAAGCACGACGTTGGTGGCCGGCCTCGCCGTGGTAGCGATGGCTCTCGCAAGCAGCCGTTGTCTGGGACCAGGAGCCGGCCCCGCCCTAACCGCCGGGAGCCCTGGCACCTGCCACAGCAGCAGGGGGGCATCTGGCCGCCGTGGGCCCCGCGAGGTCTAGGCGAAGCTGACGGCGCTTGATCAGAAGGTGGAGCCGCTGTCAAGAGGGCATTTGTAAAGGGTGGGCACTCTCGGGGGGTACACGCTGAGTCTTGGCCCTGAGCCGCAGCCACATCCAGCCGCTAACACAGTGCCCGTCTCCCGTGTTTTGCATATACACTCAGCCATACCTCCTGTGAGTGCATGTGCGCGCACAGTCTCCCAGCCGGGACCCTCACCCTCTCCAGCCCCTGCGGATACACGCCAAACCAGATGAGGGCTAATTCCTTGTCAAGCGAAGAATGCACTCCATCTCTTGCAAAGGGCCTGAGCCCATCCTGTGTGTGGCCCGAGATGGCAGAGAGCAGAACGTGGAAGACTCTGTCCTCACCCAGCTCTGCCCCAGCGAGGGAACAGTGAGTCCGTGGCCTGGAGAATCTTCGAAGAACAGCGTCTGACTCGACAGACACCCCCGGCCTCTGATTGGCAGCTTTCTAAACATCTTTGGGGATGGAATCCTCATTTTCATTCACTACAGGTAATAAGCAGGGACAACTTACAGCAGGCTTTGTGAAATGTCTCAAAATCTTGGGAAGGTCTCATTTTTTAAGCTAGATCTCTAGTAAAGTGGGTTAAATTCAGAGAGGAAAGCTGAACTGTATTACCTTCTTAATTTAAAAAATTAAAATACCTCAGAGTTGTCAGGGCAACAACATAGAAGTATCCAGATGGAGTCCCTGATGGCCCCAGTGACCCTGTTTTTGTTCAGACTCTTACAGGGATGTAAATAAAATCCTGTTCCTTTCTTTTAGGTCTGCGTATCCCTACTAAGCAGGAAACAAGTGAGGTTTACAAAGACATCATGAAACGATAAGTGAGGCTCTGAGGTTCAGCCAACCTGCTGGATTCTTTATCGAATGCTTCAGGGGGCCGATCGGTGAGTAAAAGCAAAAGCAAGAATACATGCATTTGATGCTTTTGGTTCTGAAAAGAACTCCCTGCACCTGCATCACAACCTGAGTAACTAGTCCTTACTTTGAGTCCAGAAAGTGTGAATTACCTTATAGAGTTTTTTAACCAAGTCTTTATATATTTATGTAGTATCCTTCAACAAACGTGGATCACTTTATTCTGTAACTGAAGCCACCCATTCATTTTGTCTTTAAAAAGTCTGGAGTGGGGGCGCCTGGGTGGCTCAGTTGGTTAAGCGACTGCCTTCGGCTCAGGTCATGATCCTGGAGTCCCGGGATCGAGTCCCACATCGGGCTCCCTGCTCAGCAGGGAGTCTGCCTCTCTCTCTGACCCTCCCCCCTCTCATGCTCTCTATCTCATTCTCTCTCTCAAATAAATAAATAAAATCTTTAAAAAAATAAAAAATAAAAAAAATAAAAAGTCTGGAGTGGAGACTCGAGGGAGGGGGGGAATGGGGAGTTGTCTGACAAGTATCAAGTTTTAGTTTTGCAAGAACTAAGATGAAAACGTTCTGGAGGTGGATGGTGGTGATGATTGCACAAGCACTCAACACTACTCAACTGTACACTTAAAAACGCTTAAGATGGTAAATTTTATGTATATTTTATCACAATTTTTTTAAAGGTCTGGAGTGATGGTTTTCAAACTTTTTTAGTGGTAAGACCTTTTTTCCCACAAACCCTTAGACAGTACTTGGTATATGAAATAAAGTGGCTCAATCTGGTTGGACGGGAGTCTAACTGCCGCCCTTCCCTCCTTCTCCATCTCTGCCCTTTGTGGGCGATTGAAAAGCTTCAAGACTCTTAAAAAGCCCATTTATGAAATACAGATCTAGAGCTTTAGTGGGGTATTAAAATTCAGTTTAAAAAAACAAGTATAACGAAGTGTCACTGAGAATATAAGGTCTGAAAAATGGAAAGAGGTCCCCACTTGAGAACAGCAAGATTCAGTCTTCCCAGTCTTCCCTTTATTCTCTAAATTCAATTTCATCCCAATCAAAATTTTGGCTATAGAACCTGACATCTAAGGGATGAGACCGACACCACCTCAAACTCCTTATCAATCCTCATGAGAGATTTAAGCAGAAAGCCAGATAAAGCCAGGACAACAGCTTGGAGAGGCGTTGGTGATGCGTACAGAACCTTCCCCAGACTCTGCTTACACTGGGCATACTGCCCGAGTGGGACAGTCTCCTCTCCCAGCCCCAAGCCCCACTGAAATTACTAGGGGATTGTAAAAAAGGGATAAACCCACAAGGACCAGGTTAGTGGAGGAGACAACAGCAGGAAAGTGATGCCCACAAGGTTCTATAAGACGGAGAGTTGGGCAAAGGATCCACAGCTGTCTGAGCAGCTGAGAGAAGCCACCCC